ATTAAAATGGATAAAAACACAGTAAAAAAAATGTGATAAAAAAGCTAAAATTACAGAGAAACCCCTTCAGCCAAATTTTATCATTGGACATTTAAAGAAACCTTTAAAATCATTATATAAATATCACTTACAATTAATTTTCTCATATAATCACACTTTGGCACGTCAGTTTTCATCCTTACAAATAGTTACTGGGACAAAAACTAACAACTTTCTGCTAAAAAAAATTAAATAAAGCTGTGTGAATGCTGAACACTGAATGACTGCTGAAATTGGCTAAATAAGCTAAAATTGACTTAAAACAAGCAGAACAAAAGCTAAACTGAGCATAAACATTAAAAATAAAAGTAGCTAAAAGCAAAAAACAGCAAACAATAGCTAAATGAAGCAAACTGACAAAGTTCAAATTAGTAGCCAAAATTAGCTAAACAGATGCTTTAGTTCACACAACAGTAGCTAAAAGTATTATAAAAAAGATTCTGAATGTAAAATCAATAAAAACTCTAAGCTGAAAGTAAGAAAATTGCTGTTTGCAGATTTTCTTACTTGCAGTTGTTTTTTGCATAAGTGTTTTTTGTGTTTGCAATTGTTTTTGTTTTCTGTGTGTTTGCATGTTTTTCAGTTTGCATCATTCAGTGTTTCTCCTGTTAGTTTTTTTGTGTTTATGTGTTTTTTTGTTGTTGTTGTTTGCTTGTTTTTGAGTTTGCATCATACGTGTTTGCTGCGCGTTTGCACCCATCAGCCACCATAGAAAAGTGTAGGTAAAAGCTAAAAAGAGCAGAACAGCACCTAAAAGTTAAAAGTAGCAAAATGTTAGCTAAAAGCTAAACATAGCAGAACGGTGGCTAAAAGTAAAAAAAAGAAAGTAAAATTGCAGCAAACATTAAAATTGGCAGAAACATTTTGAAGCCAGTTTCAAAGAGAAAATTAAAGAGATCTCTGTATTTTGATGTGAAATTTTATTGTAAAGAAAGTAAAAAATATGAAAGTACAAAATAAATCATTGCACACCATTTCCAAGTGAGCTGCACATTTTGATTTATGATCATGTGGCACACAGTATACAGAAGTAGTTTGATTGCAAAACACATGTGAAAGAAACTAAAAACAGGAAGTGTGAACGCCGACTCAGCACTCTGATGATAAACTCCAAACAAAACCTGCAAACAATGTTTACAGCTACGTGTACTGCTGCCGCTCCCTCTTACATATACGTGTAAATTCTTGTCAAAGCTGTTTTTCTTTGTGTCACGGTTTCAGCCCGCTCTGAGCGCCACAATGAGCTGGTTGACCTCCACAGTGTAATTTGCCTCCAACCACTTCCACTCGACTGGAAGAGAGCATCCATCGGGAGAGCGGACACTCGACACTAACTCGCCTTGTGCGTGTGAGTGCAGGGGTCACAGGTCATGTGGGGGGAGGTTTGTGGTTTCTGGAACAAGTTTGCTGCAGTTCCCATCCTTGACTAACGTGACTCAGGCAGATGTTAAGCTGAATGGATGGAAGCTGAGATGGATTTTACGTTCTCTGAAAGCTCCTTAAATTCACTTCAGTTTATTTATACAGCGCCAAGTCACAACAGAAGTCACCTCAGAGCACTGAACAGAAACATTCATATATAAAATAATAATTTAACTATTTATCTGAGGAGCAGACTGCTTTGAATTTAACTCCATCGCAGAACTCTCATCTTGAGCAAGCATGAAGGCGACAGTGGAAAGTAAAAACTCCCTCATAAGGAAGAAACCTTTAGCAGAACCAGGCTCAGGACAAGCGCCATCTGCTTCGACCAGTTGGGTTTGAGGGGAACAGATACACAATGGCAGGTCAAGAATCACATATTAAGATGAAAATAGTCTCAAACGAAAACTAATTAATGTAAGGAAATTGTCAATTTGTCCTCCAGTAGTCTAAGCATATAGCAGCATAACAACCCAACCCTAACTATAGGATTTATCCAAAAGGAAAGTCTTAATCCCAGTCTTAAAACTGGTCAATGTGTTAGCCTTACAGACAGAAACTGGAAGTTGGTTCCACAAGAGAGGAGCCTGATAACTGGAAGATCTTCCTTCCATTCTGCTCCTGGAAACTCTAGGAACCGCAAGTAAGCCTGCAGTCTGAGAGCAAAGTGCTCCGTTAGGAAAATATGGAACAATAAGATCTCAAATATAAGATGGAGCTAGGTTGTTGAGAGCTTTGTAGGTTAGAAGTGGGATTTTCAATTCAATTCTGGATTTGACAGGGAGCCAGTGGAGAGAAGCTAAAACTGGAGAGATATGATCTCTCCCACTAACTCCAGTTAAGACTCTGGCAGCAGCATTTTGGATCAACTGAAGACTTTTTAAAGTAGTATTTGGACACCCAGATAATAAACCATTGCAATAGTCCAGTCTAGATGTGACAAATGCATGGACCAGTTTTTCTGCATCATTTTTAGACAAGATGAGTCTAATGTTGGTGATATTACGCAGGTGGTTCTAGTAATGTTTTTTAATGTGGGGGATAAAAGACATGTCCTGATCAAAAATAACAAAAGATTTTTAACATTAGAGCTGGAGGACAGATTAATGCCATCTAAGGAGGGTGAAAATGTATTCCTTTCATTCAACCTTTATTTATACAGGTTAATCCCATTGAGCCTCAGGAACTCATTTACAACAGAAACCTGAAGTGAAACTGAGAGCATCCCAATATGCTCAGGTCCAAAAACCGTGTTCAAAACAGAACATTAGTGTCATTCAGGTTGATATAAAAATATGTTTTATAAAAATATATTAAGTTGCCTTTATGCCTATTTAAACATATACATTTTGTGTGTGTTACTTTTCAGAATTAAATGTCTAAATTGCCATAAAAGGCAAGGGTGGAATGATATAGGAATGATTATTTTGATGCTTTTATGTCAATTTATACTTATTTTACACTCATTTACATGTAGTTTGAAAACACACTTATACAACGTGTTATTCACATATTAGGGATTGTACTTTGTTTAACATGTGTGGAATGATTTATGTTGCCTTTGTTAATATTTGGGACACTCTTTGATGGTTTGCAGAGGGACGGAGGGGTGCGTGTTTCCTCTTTAGGAATGCTTTGTAAAGCTTAAGGAGTATTTCTGGCTTCAAGGTCTTGGCCAGCTTTGCGGTCACAATGCTCCTTATTGGTAATAAATCACCAGCTCCTCATCCGTTGTTCTGGTAACCATCAAACTTGTTTTTCACTGCTCTCACGCGATCCGGTCAGGGAAAAAGGTATAAAGGAGGTGTGACAGGCAAGGGAATTTTAGAAGTCTTGTGTGGACCAGCGCGCGGTGCCATGCAGTTGGTGATGTGAGTTCTCCCATTTGGATCGAAAGGCTTCCCGATCATTTGTCACGGTGAGAGATACTCATATCAATTTGTGTGTTAAGAGTGTACAAACTGTACATGACCTTGCTTGGCTGTTTTCTGTGGCAGGTTAATAAATGACAATATTATTTCTAGCAGTAACAGTCTCTGTGTTTTATTATTCCTCTTGTCTGAATATCTGGTGCCGATCGTTCACGAACCTTTGATAAAGAATTTCATAATACACAGGTTTTTATGTCTTTAAGACATGCTTGTCATCCAAGTAGCTGATTGTATTAATTGGGTTTCATGTACAAATAAAGAACAGAATGATGGAGAGTTACAATGAAATGAAAAAACATGATATGTACTGTGTTTGTTTGCAGCTTTAAATCAAGTATCTTTTTTATGTAGACGTGCTACCATCTTAAATAAATGAAGAAGTTGCATCATCTGCACAAATATTACGTGAATGCTGAGCGCTTAAATATATTTCAGAAAATGTTCACAGAATAGTTCATGTTAACACAAGCAGAACAGAAGCTAAAATCTGCAAAACTGTAGCTAAAAACTATGGGAATTGTGGCAAAAAGCTGAAAGTAGAGCACCTACCAATAAAAGTTACAATTTGCATATATCATAATGTAAATAAACTGTAGCTAAAAATTAAAAATCAGCAAGACAGTAGCTAAAAGCTAAAGAATGTCAGAAGTCACGAGAGCTAATATGCTAAAGATTTAAGAGAAAGAGGGATTTTTTTCAAGGAATTAAAGTTCTCAATGTATTTCTATGAGGAACATTTTTCAAATTAAAGTTAAATACTTTTTAAAAATATAGAAGTGACAAATATAAAAAAAGTCATAGCAATCTTTTCCCAATTGAGCCAAACTTTTTGATATACAAATGGTTCAAATTCATTCATTCAACCTTTAGACAGGTAAAAAAAAAACAAAAAAAACAGAGAAACTCTAAACAGGGAAATAATAGTGTGAACGCTGAGTCATCTTCAACACAAAAAAGTGAAAAAAAGATTTTAAAAAGACAAAGCTTCATAATGAAACATACAGTATTCTTCGTGTCTCATCAAATGTAATTCCCGTCCAAAGCAATTCAAAACAGGTCAAGTGTTAAACTGGAGTGACAATCCTCAGGAAGTTATATCGGTGATAACATCTAATGGCTTCGCTCCCATCACTTCACAGCTCTCCGGTTCAAATTTGAGAGTAAAGCCACAGACACGGCAACCCTCAGAGTCAGATCATTGTCCTGCTGGCAACGCCGAAAGGCAAACGGTCAAATAGGACAGGAGGAGCTCAGCCATGTTTGTACATGGATATTATCCAGGGGCTTAGCTGTCGTGTACACAAGCAATTTCCCATGGGAAGAAACAGAAACCTCGCAGCAAGCTTCCGCTGGCTGCTCCAGTCATTACAAATTTCACCCAGAACTGATCATACTTCCTGTCCTGTTTATTACATTAAAAATAATCATTCTTCTTAGGTCAAAGTGTTATATAGTTTCACAATTCATTCTCGTCTTTCAGTAATTTCTCTCCAATTTAAAACCTCTCCGTTCGGCTGCGCGATGCCATTCTAAACTGAGCAATCTCACATGAGCAAGAAAAGCTGAGCTGTGTGAATATTACAGTTTTCCAGCGCATGTCCGACTCACGTGGTGAGCAGCCACCGGGACTGCTTGGCCAGTCCCAGACAGGCCAGCAGGCAGATGATCAGGTCCAGGATGAGCAGCAGCAGATAGGTCAGCCACCTGCACATAGACACAAATGAAGATTAAAATACACTGCATGAGGGGATTTGTTAAAGATAAACTACAATTTAATAAAACCTTTATGCATTGTAGAGCATCCCTCCAGCTGATCCATTTTAGGACCAAATGCTATTGAATTCTGGCAGGTTATAACAGAAATGACTTAAGACGAATGTAGTCAATTATATTATATACAATTCATTAAAATATTTGTAAAGTCAAAAATAAGGAAAAAAAAATTTGATGTGGGGTTATGTGGACATTTAATGATTAGTTAATATCTTACCCGTTGTAGATATCTCTTTCAATAACCTCACTTTGGAGAAATAAAGTTTAATTTAGTCTGAATTTATGAGAAACTGGCTATTCGTAAAATAACTTCAAAATCAAAAATGTCAAACAAAAGTTTGAAAATCTCTGAATCATCATCGCTGCATTTAAGTACAGTTATTTGTGTGTCTGTGGCTCCGGTCCTCCCTATGTTGCCATTGTGTCCTGGGGGGGCGGGTCTGTGGGCCCCCGCGTCCACTATTGGGCATTCTTTTGGAGAAATCTGGTGGTGGTGGGCGTGCTTGCGCGGGTGTTTGGATTCAGGTGCTTTGACAGATGCACGCTAGGTTGGGTAGTGGCGGAAGCTAGATGATTCATTGTGCGATGTCGAATGTTTCATGGTGATATTGTGGGTGGCATTGTGCTGTGCATGTTGTTTTGTCATGGTGGTCTCTCGTCTTATCTTCTTCTTTTTTATTATTTATTTATTCTTCTTTCTTCTCTTTCTTTAAAAATAAAAAATAAAAAATAAAAAAAAAAATTGAGCGATGATGATAAGTTCATTGAAACACTTCACAATGTTTCTACACTTAAACTGAGCACACAAAAAAAAAAAAAAAAAAAAAAAAAAAAAAAAGTACAGTTATTTGCATGGAATTCTACAGCTTTCGCTGGAGCGGTTCGCAGCAGTGCAACGCCGCTGGGATGAGGATCGGTTCCTCCAAATCCGAGGCCATGGTCATGAGCCGGAAATACTGGAAAAGGAGAAGGTCCTGTCCCAAGTGGAGGAGTTTAAGTATCTTGTTCACGAATGAGGGAAAAATGGAGCGAGAGATCGATAGGCGGATAGGTCTGTAGTGACGCGGGCGCTGTACCGGTCTGTCGTGGTGAAGAGAGACCCGAGTCAAAAGGCGAAGCTCTCAATGTACTGGTTGATCTTGTACGTTCCTACACTCATCTATGGTTAGGATGCCTCCTGGACGCCTGGTGAGGTGTTCCAGACACATCCCACCGGGAGGAGGCCCAGAGGAAGACGCAGGACACGCTGGAGGGACTATGTTTCTCGGCTGGATTCCCCTGGAGGAGCTGGCCCAAGTGGGGAAGAGGGAAGTCTGGGCCTCGTGAATGTGAAAATAATGGTTGTTTAAAGGGAGCGTTTATTGACTTTTGAAGAAATGTTCGGTCAAACAGTTATCAGTAGTTAGTACCTTAGTAACAACGACATCTATCAGAGAAAAGTCTTTGTCCAGGCTAAAAGCCAAATGAGAGCCTGATTTTTAAGGTTTTTCAGGCGTAAAAAAAAATGCTGGTGTGAAAGAACACTATATACAAAGTAAAATCTGAAAAAAATAAATGTGCCCTTGTTTTTTTTTTGTTTCATTCAACCTTTATTTATATAAGTTAGTCTCATTAATCATCATCAGATCAGTATCTGTGGCCATATTCTTCAGACTCGCTGCAGGAGATCCTTCCTGCCCGCAGCTATCAGCATCTAACAACTCTTGAATGAAACCAGGATGATAAGCTACACTTAATTTCCCTTTGGGATTAATAAAGTATTTTTTTTATTTAATTTTTATGTAATTAAGTCAGTTTAGCTAACAATTAGCAATTAGCCTAAGCTAGACGAAGGCTATTGTCTCTTTCTCCATACTGCACTCTGGATTGATGCTACAGCTAAAAAAGTATTTACTCTAGATAACCACCGGTATTTGACTGAACATCACTTAAAAATTACTACACTATCCCTGAAAGAGTTTAAAAACTGCCAGAGAGAGTGAGAGAGAGAGCAAGAGCGAGAGATTTAGCTTTAGCTAGCTTAGGAAGGAGCTGAAGCATTGATACCACGTTTACCTATCGCTCAAAGTGAGTAAAGCATGGAAACAAAAAGGAGGTGGAGCCTTTGCATGTTAGGATGACAAAATATATGTATATCCTCAAGATACTTGTAGTTAGTATGTGCAAAATCAAATGTCAAAGCTTCTATTTATAAAGTAAAAAGTTAATTTTGTCATTTTAAACTGCTCCAGCCAGAATACTGAATACAACATCGTTCTGCACATGTGGCTCAAAAAGAACCATGAAATGAGTATTATGAGCAACCCTGGAGCGTAAACATAATGTGAAGTAAGAGCACTTCTCCTTTAGTCATTCTAGTTTAATCATTATTTTTTACATTCAACCATACATAAACTGTTGGGATCGAGGCTGTTTTATTAAAGAGTCCATTAAAAGCTTACAAGTCTGCCTGTCTAGTCTTAGCATGCCCGCTCTGTTAGTGTGAAGCTGTGTGGAGTATTTGTTTATTGGTGGAGCAGAGGAGTCTCACTGCACATCAATAGAAACACAACTGACTGTCACTGCAGACGTAGCAGAAATGGCACAAGTGCAAAAAAGATGGTCCTGCTGGCAACAGGAAGTACTATAGATGTTTTTTTTTTCATTATCCAGTCTCACAACTCTCTTTGCTCTAATTCAGCCCAGTTCGGTTCTACGTGGTCTAGGTAGTTTTCCGTATAACTGAGAGCTGCCGTGATGTGGGCGGGTTGTCACAGCTTGGTTATCTCAAAACTCAACAGAAAACAAGATAAAGTTACAAAACACTCATTTTCTGCCTTGGTTTCCAAATATGCCTTGGCCCAGTTGAGACCACCTTCCCTCCACCGGTTGAAGCCCGTAAATTAAGTCCATTTGGTCCGGCTCCCAATGAACTCTGTTGTCAGCCAATAAGCATGGAAACATTCGCACCACCTCATGGTGCCATGACGCTGGTTTAGGTGTTGCCTTTTAAATGGGCATTTTATATATTGTAAATTTAAATAATCAAACTAAATCAGAATCAGCTTTATTGTCATTGCGCCGAAGCACAACAAAATTACATTTCAGTACAGCCCGTCCAAGAAACAAACAGACATGGGGAGATGGAGGTGTCTGAGGCCGCAGCCTTCGGGAAGCACTGCCCTTTTCGTTTAGATAAGAAAAGAGAAACAAGAGGGGAGGTCCATCCATCCATTATCTTTACCCGCTTATTCCATTTTGGGTCACGGGGGTCGCTGGTGCCCATGCCCAGCAATCACTGTGCGAGGGGTGGGGTACACCCTGGACGGGTTGCAAGTCCATCACAGTGCCAAATAGAGACAAACGAGACAAACAACCATTCACTCTCACTCACACCTAGGGACAATTTAGAGTTACCAATCTGCCTAACATGCATGTTTTTGGTCTGTGGGAGGTAACCGGAGTACCCGGAGAAAACCCACGCATGCATGGAGAGAACATGCAAACTCCACCCAGAAGGCCCCTGGACCGGGGTTTGAACCAAGGACCTGCTCGCTGAGAGGCAGCAGCTCTAGTCGCGCCACCGTGCTGCCCCACGAGGGGAGGTATAAAAAATTTAAAAAATCATCTTGCACTGTGTCATAAACGGGATACAGTGTGAAAGTTGCAAAAAAGACCTCAGCACAGAAACAGAAACATACTGATGGCATCATAATACATACAGTATATGAATGAGGAGGCCGATGAAGGTGGTGAGTTTGTCCTTGGACACTGCCAGATAGTTCCATAGTCCTGATAAGAGATGGTGCAGTGTCTCAACCGGCTCAGCTCTGACACAGGTTCACAGATGTCCTCGGGAAGGGAGCGGGAGGGGGTGGGGGGGCAGAGCTTCTGATTCACATAACGTCCAGGAGAGTTTGAGATAGTTGGCCAATGATAGTTGTTTTGGGTGAGACTGACTGCTTGACTTCTGTCTGCCTTCATAGTTCTATTGGCATGTCTCAATGACGACTCCAAACAGCCAAATTTTGTGGTCAACACTGCCAGGCCAAACCAAATGCTGCAGTTGCAAGGTTTCAAAAATAGTGGGTTTAGTTCTTGTGAAGGAGATGCCGTCATGTTTGAAGTCTCTCTCCGGCCAATCAATTGTCTGTAGTCTGCCGACGTCAAATCTTCAGTTCGGCTTGTTTCACTTGTAGGTTTTCGGCAGAACTTATAAACAAGCTAAAAGTGGGTGGGACCACCCATTGGTAAGACTCGAAACTTGCAATGAGTTGAGCCAATGGCAAAGGGCCACATGTGTCATAATTATCAAAGGGTTCACAGTCAGATCCAAGATACATCAAACTAGGATTGCCTGAATGAAAGTTCGAAGGTGAAAACATTTGATCTACAGTGCTGTGAAGATGCGTAGCTCATTTATGAGGAAATCAACAAGAAACCGAGCATGAAATAGATCATCTGCATAGAGAAGAATAATTTGCCATTTAAGTAAAAGTATGTCAATTAAATCAGTCGTAATAGAGAAATGGTTTGACTAGATGGGACAAAGATCCAGTTCAGGATTGTCTTGGTACCCCAAGGAAATACAGCTGAAATCATAAGAAACTTCACAAAAAGCATATACGGTGCCTTAATGTGAATATGATTCATCAGGGGGATATTATTAAACTCTTACTTAGAGACTGTATTACAAAAAATCCAATGACTTTAAAAGTAATTCTAACAGTTTATCAAGAGTCCAGGCTTCTTAATTTGCAATTCACCAAAGTTAATGTTAAGTTCACAACCATGAAGTGAGGCCTTGGATAACATTTCTCGACATACTGCATTTGTTAGCTGCCATACTCCATTACCGTTTGTACTTAAAATGTCTGAATGACGGCTAATTCTCGAACACAGTTCAAGCATCCCACGCTAACGGAGATGATGAGGGTGTTCTTATTCACACAAGTGGGTGACGCATACATGTAAAGTCATATTTCATTCCATCTATTGAATAATGAGTGATGTAATCAGGTCACAATGCGCAAAATGTAACTCATTGCTTATGAATGAGGTATAACATGTTCTGAAGTGCTCTGTGACTGTAGTCCTATTTAAGGCTTGATATGAAATGCTTCAGCATATTTATCACCTGCTGTTGAAAGGCATGTCTATGTCTGTTAGCACAATACCTCATGTAAAAGTAATTGACGGATCATAATAAAAATTTCAGACTTTATTTACTGGAGGTATATCTACAACAGATTAACTTTTGGGGTCAATCAATTTAAGATGGCTGCCACAGGTAATAGACTTTAGTAAATATAGAACTGGCTACAGCTCAGTTTTACAGGCATTTTGATAAAAATTAGTTGTGGTTGTAGCTGAGGGGTTTTCACTGCACTTACTCTGAACGTGACATTTCACAGGAAATTACATACGTACTGCTACTTTTAAGGTTCAACCAAAACGGTGACAACGCTGCCATTTCTCATCGTAGGATAACTGTAGTTTAAATTTCTGTTCACGTTTTGAAGGTTCATGAATAGGTCATGCAAGTTTCACTCATTTTCAGAACCCTCCTCTCATAAATGCATCCCCTTGTTGAGTTGTGCAGTCGCTGCTTTCCACAAACATTACCTCACCTGTAATATTCTATGTTTGCCATTTGATCAGCGATGGACGCCAGGTCCACTTTAGACACGTCCCAGTCGGGCAGGCCCAGCAGCTGTTTGATCACGTTGTCGGCCATCTGCTGCATGAACTGCAGGGTCTGCACGTAGTCGCCCCGTGTGGCGAAGATCTCATCCAGCCTTGCGAGGTGCTGGTGCAGACCGGTCCTCATGTTGCCCATGGTGCCAGTCACCTGAAGGGAAAGGCAGAAGAGGATTGAGATCAGGTTGGATTTACTCCAGAATCATCATAAAAATTATTCATAAAAATAAAGCATAAGAAAACGTTTTGACAAATATTGACTATAGATTTAATGTTAGTATCTGTTCCAAATGGAATGAACTGCTGTGAATTGTTTTCTTGCAGATGGGTCAAATGTCTAAATATAGATGTCTGTGTTCCTTGCAGCGATGCACTAAACCAGCCGGTGAGTAGCTGCTCTGTGGGGTCATTAGTTCCACTGGAGGAGCTCAGCATACAGCCGAGTGTGTCTGAGCCCCTTTTACCAACAGCAGATCTTATACATATGGGTATACACGGTAAAGGTTAAAGTTTGATTAATGGTTCATGTTGTGATTTCACATTGTGATACATTTGCATTTTGGGGGGGTGTTTTAGGTTTAGACAAGTGGTATGCTGATGTCCCCTGTCGCCGAGGGATTTGAAAAGTGAATGTAGTTTTTGAGATGAGATTTTCCAGTTTTCTGGACTGGAACTGAAACAAGTAAGCCTGGTAAACCTGTTCTTTGTGCAAGATATTCAAGTAGGTAGGAGTTACACTGTGTAGATGAACAGAGGTAGTTTTTTTTTTGTTTGTTTTGTTTACCGAGGCAGCGCAGAGAGACGGATATAGTTAAAGTATCGTTATTGTCAGTCGCATCACATGTGGTACATGAGGTGGAACAAAATTATGTACTCAAGGTCCCAGTTACACCCAAAAATAGAAAAAAAAGGTAAAGTATTAAAAAAAAACAGTATACAAGAATCTAAGATGTACACTAAAATATATGCTAAAGGAACGCTGAACAATACGCTAAAAAAATCTAAGATATAAGCTAAACACTAAAAATGTAAAATAATAATAATAAGGTATACTAAACAGCATCCTGAACATGAGTCTGTAGTGAGTAGTTGGGTATGAATTAATAAATACAGCAGCATGAGATCAGCAGCATAATCAGCAGCATTGATGTCACATATCACCAATTAAAGTGGCTTTACAGTGATTTCTTTCTTTTCTTACAGTGATTATCCTGGTTAGGGATTCATGAGATCCTGGTGAGTGGAGGGTGCAATTTTATCTACAACCAACCAGGCACACTGGCGGAACCAGGGGGTGGCCAATGGTGGCTTTGCAACCTTCAGCCACCCCAAGGAATCATTTGAGGAACTATACTTTTAAACAATAGAAAAACTAGAAAGTAGGCATTTCCTCATATTATGGGATGGTAGATGGTAAAGATAAATGGATGGATGGACAGAAGGAACTTGTTTTTTGATATTGACCTTTCCTGTGCCTAGATGTAGCCACAAACCAAAATGGAAGTTGGCACATTGCTTATTTTTCCAAGTTCTCCAGCTACACATTTTTGGTAGCAGCCATCTTGGATTTAGACATGGCAACCTAATTTTTGAAATAAATCTTTTTACACCTAAATACACACCAAAATGAAAGTGAGTACCTGACTTATTTTTCAAAGTTATCATGCTAATAACCAATCAATAAACTACTTGTTCTCCATAATTATTACTGAATGAGAAAAAAAAAAAAAAACTATAGTGTAAAGGTGTAAAGGTTTTAAACCATGCTTCATTATTGCACATCACTTTAAGATATAGGAAAAAATATATTAGTCCCACAGGTCCTGTGAGATCTGTCATCCTTCAGTTGATCATGGACTGATATGTTGTGAGCTGACAGCTCTTAGGGAATAATCTTGTTGATGCTATAACGCTTGTCTGGCAAACTTTAGTACTTTTTATTGCTTTGATGAAAAAAAAAAAAAAATAGATCATAATATTTTACTACAGAGAACAATGTACATAAAGTAAATAATGAATCTTCTTCATACACGAAAGTTAGCCATGTTGTTCCTCAGGGTTTAATGCTTGGACCAATACCATTTACTTTATAAGTGCTTCCATTAGGTAAAGTTATTAAGCAGCATGGGATAAATTTTCATTATTATGCTGATGATATTTATCCATGAAACCCGATGAATTCAATCAGTTACTTAGATTATAATCATGTCTTAAAGACATGCTCAAGTGTCTGAAGATTCTATTGAAAGTTTGCCTGTTCTGTGTCGACAACACTGGTTCCTCTCGAGTTTAGGAGCCTCTTATGCCTCGATAATTCCAGGGTCAGAGTTAATCAACTTAAAAAAACAACATTCCTCTGAAAACAGTCAGGTGATGGACTGATGAGTGGTAAAAACCAAGAAAAACACTTTTGAAGTCCAAAGTAAAACTTCAGAAAGTCTAAAAAAAAATCCCTGATAATTGAAGAGAAGTTGTGCTGTTCTGCACCGGACTGCAGCTCACTTCTCATTAATCTGTTAAACCAGTCTGACTGAGCTGCAAGCCTGCATGCGGGCATCATTTTTGCACAGTTCGCACAGGTGTGAACAAATCAGAATGTGCTTGCTCCATCCTGCTTCCTTTGTATCAGGGCATGCTGAAGAGCAGCTTGGACAGATTTAGTCTGAGAGACTTTATCGCCTGTTGAACATGAAGGTGAAGAGTGGGGACGGCATGGAATACAGAGTGTCCATTTGAAATCAACAGCTTGGACAGACAAAGCTGAAGAGCTCAGAGGTGAAATGGCAGATTTGTTGTTGTTGCCATCAAACATTTATTAATTTATTTCTAAATGTATCTATCACTAATGAGGCGGCTGCTTTGTTTACCTCTTTAAGCTCGTAATCATACCGAAGCTGAACCGTTCCTTATGGAGAAAGAGTGATCCTCCGAGGAGATCAACAAACAAAACTTGGGCTTTTAATTTGATGTGTTGCGCTTTTAATTTGTCAGCAAAGATCACATTATACAGTGCACAAGTGGAAATGTCTCCCGTATAGACACCGGCCTTCTACTTGGGTCTAATTACTGCACGTTTTGCTCGGAGGGAGAAGTTGTTTATAGGAACATGGCACTCGCAGAGGCATCCTGCTTTTGATAATTAAAAAGGGTCATAAATCTTCCATTCAGCGCTGGGAGGTTGGTGTCTATGAGAAAAACAGATCAGATTGTTTGTTTTTCTAGGGACATGGTTTGTTGAGGGTGATATACAGACATACACTCATCATTTGGTTTTGTTAGGCTTAAGAGTGCACTTTGTGATGAATAACAAAAAAGAAGTTTGAGTATATTGATAAATAAATCAGTGACAGATGGATTGGTGCAGCGTCTGCAGTATTGTGGACTTTGTGCTGGTCTGTTGTGGTGAAGAAGGAGCTAAGCTGTAAGGCAAAGCTCTCTGTTTACCGGTCAGTCTACGTTCCTACCCTCACCTATGATCATGAACTCTGAGCAGTGACCGAAAGAACGGGATACAGGCGGTTGAAATGAGTTTCTACTGCAGGGTAGCTGGACTCTCCCTTAGAGACAGGGTGAGAAGATCAGTTATCCAGGAGAGACTCTGAGTAGAACCACTGCTCCTCCACATCAAAAGGAGCCAGTTGAGGTGGTTCGGGAATCTGGTAAGGATGCTTCTGGGCGCCCCCCTTGGGAGGTGCTTCGGGCATGTACAACTGGGACAAGACCTTGGAAAAGACCCAGGACATGCTGGAGAGACGACATTAGTTTTCACACCCGATAGTCCGGTAGACTCGGTTCGATTGGGGACCAAAATTCAGAGCATTTTGTTTTACATTTTCAGCTGGCGCGGTTCGCATTCATACTGCACTGAGTCAGTCGAGCCAACCTGTTCCCCCCTTCGCCTGTGGTGGCGCTGCACCAAGAACTACTGAAGGAAACTACACAAAAACCTCTGAAGAAGACACTGAGCGCAATTATTCCTTCTGGAAATATAAACAAAAATGGAGTGGCGTCAAACTTTAGCGGTTTTAGGATTTTTGCTTTGTCTGTGGCTCATGTGCCAAACAAACATTTTTCAACAATGGACTCAGCATGAGCGGAAGATGAGGCAGAAGACCATGGAGAATGTTTTTCCAAACAAGGGGGCAGAGACAGCTCAGCATGATGTATGAGAAATGTGCATTTGTTTTGGTTGTTTTTACCCAGAATGCCCTGCACTGTAGTTCACTTCCTGCTTTTGGAGCGGTCTCTGGTCTGGACTTTTTTTTGGTTTTGAACCAGTTTGACATGACTGTCGACGACGAAGAGGGCTGACACAAGAGGAGGGGGCGTGCCAAAGAGACCATCTTAGCACCAACATAACTGGTTTGTTCCACTTTGGAGTAAGCTGTTGGGGGAAGAATCAGTTTTGTTGTGCGTTTCCTTGACCGATGAAGACTTCTGGATGGAAGTTGAAATGTTTCAGAAACAAAAAGAAACTGTCCAGATTACGACTGAAAATTGTTGGATTGTAAACCTGGATTATTGAGCATGGACTTTTGGTCATGCAGGTCACCTTGTAAATACTTAAAAAAATAAACCTCAGTCCAGTTGTCATATTCAAGGTTCAGGTGCTGTTCAGTTTACCTGATCTGATCCGTCCTCCCCCTCAGATTAAGATGAAACTGCAGATGCAGAAACAAAAACATCTATCTGATCCCAGCTTCTTGTGTGAGAATGAGACTTTTATCTAAAACGCCTCGGGGAGCTGGCCAATCCAGCTAATCTCTCCAACGCCCAGATCTAATCCTCAGCGTGGAAGTGATCTGTTCTGATCAAACAGATACGATTCCAAGCCCCAATCCTCTCAGACAATCTCAACATGCTGCCTTAAAGGCACTGTGAACCCCTTTACTTTATTCTAAACAAACAGCAAAGGGACAATGGTGGACAGGTTTTTACACTGGAATGCTCATTTATAAAAGCAAAAAGGGACAAAGAAATTCAATATACCAGAAACAAAGAGATGACTGTGACAAATGAGGCACTGCCTTGGGCTGGACAGATGACAATGTGTTGAAACATTTTTATTTAGGCTTTTAGCTTCAAGGAAATAAAATATATAGATAAACTGGTTTAATGTACATAAGTGTATATTCAGACTCATTCTTCCAA